CCTTCAAAATCATATAGACGATTCGATCAAACTTATCAAAGAGAGCAAAATTAAGATATCCGGGCATAGCCGAATCACTAGCTATCCAAAAGCTCAAACACACATTATGTATTCAATGGAAATACGTCCAACTCTTGTCCCTGCCGTGGCCATCATAAACAGATAATTCTTTTAATAGGGACTATCCCATTGCCTTTCTTATCCGAATCTCCTGTTTATTCATGTTTTTTTTAAAGTTTTTCTTAATCCCTGTCTACACTACCATATTTTCATATCCAAACTTCCTGTCTATTTTGTCATTTTATTATTTCTACATATTTAATTCCTAACTGCATAAACAATCATTCGTCACATCAGTTATGATCCCACTAGATTTTTTTTTATCCAATTATCATGTCTATTTTTGTTATTTCTGAATTTTTGACGCCTAATTGCACAATATGTCAGTCTTCTCAGTAATGTTTATGATGCTACTTTGTTTGAGTTTTATCCGCTCCGTCCCTCTGTTTATTATGACATTTTAATTCCTAATTGTAATTTTATTAATCCGACTTTTGACCGGAAATTATTCTGGAACTATCCCACCCATTCATTATACATACACGAACATACAGTCTAGTTGATGACTTCGTCGAAAAGAGAAATTTTCATCGCTGCAATTGTCTTTTTATTCCCAAAGGTTATATCTCCACAAAGTTCGTATAAAGCATTTCTGACGTCATAGCATTCATGTATTATTTTTATAATTTACAATGAAGCTTTGAGATGAAATTCTTCTCTTTTTTCACTCATTCCAATTTAAGAGAACGACGCCAAGAGACATCTGGTCAGTGGTAAATGTCACTTCTAAACACTGAAGACAGTTCTCCTGGGTAAATCAACTCACCATGTGCTATTAAACTCTATTTTCATGTAGTTAAAATGACGCAAAGAAGGAATTTCTTTTTGACGTAAGGATACTTCAACTTACCAATAACCGTCTTTATACTAAAATCTTATTTAAGAATATATTGCTGCCGGCTTGTTTTAAGTTTAAACTTGATTTATTTATTCGTGTTTTAATGCGACATTTAGAGATGGTACTTCACTAATTGAAATTCGACACTATCTTTAAGACGTAAATATCATCCGTTTAATGTGTGTGTTTTCAATTCTTGCACCCTTTATAAGAATGAAAGTTAAAGGTATTTCTATGCATTTGTTACATATTTTACACTGCATAAATTATGCCTCAGACTACATGTACGCTTAATTTTACGAGAAATTGAAATCAACGCTGAAGTTAATGATGTCATCTCAGGCGCAATATTTAGTGAAAAAAGGTTTGCTATCTTCGAAGCATTACAAGTATGTCCTGCATTAATTAAATGAAATGCAAACCAAGATTTACCTAAATTTTGATGAAACACTTATAAGATTTGTCGTCTGAACACTTGGAAGTTTACGAGTAATTTCATTGTTTACTAGCGGTCATGAATTGTTTAACCGGCAGATTACACCACTGAGAACTGATAATATTCGAAAGAATGGTTACTGAACAGAAAATATTCTTTTGAACAAGGCATTAAGAAGACAAATTTCGCGAGATGATATCATTTCGTAGTTTCTTTACAACCGCTTGGTATGCTTGGAGGATTTATGCTGTATAAACGTTATGTAGATGATACTCTTATTATTGGTAATAATAGTAAATCTATTGAAAACTTCATTACTCTATTTAATCATATTCATCCAAATATTCGAGTGACTTCCGAACTAGAATCGAATGACAAACTCGGTTTCGTGGATATTACTATGATTAGGAGAAATGATGGAACAATTCAGCGCTCTATTTTTCGTAAACAACATGGACTGGACAATATCTTCATTTTACCAGTTTTGTTCCTATCCAGTATAAACGTTCCCTAGTGAAATGTTTGTTCTCAAGGGCCCGAAAAATATGCACGAGTGAAACACTGATGGATGAGCTTCGACATGTACATTCAGTTTTATTAGCTAATGGTTATCCGGAGAGCTTTATCACTTGTCACAACAAAGAAAATCCACATCTCGAAAAGACAGCAATTGTACCAAAGAAGGCCATCTTTATTAATCTACCATCCAAGGGCGACCAGATTATGCAGTTGACAACTCAAAGACTTCGGTCGGACATCAAATGCACATTCTACGCTGAATCTCTTTTTCTCAATTGCCGAACATTTTCGATCCCTGTTCCTACGATTAAAGGGCGAAATTCTGTGGACTCTACTTCAAACTGTATCTACAAGTTCACCTGCAGCTGCGGTGACACCTACATAGGTAGAACTAACAGAATGTTCCAATGTCGTCGAAAAGAACATATTCCAAAATGGCTAGTAAATCATATCAAAAATCCTAACGCGATTAATCTTAATAGAAATCCAGCATCATCATCATCCATTGCAAAGCACTTATTAATGTCAGGTCACATAATCAATATTAATGACTGTTTCACAATTATTTCACATAACTCTAATTCAAGGTTGGTTATTGAAGGTGATGGAAGCACTTTGGATTAATCACATACAGCCTAACCTGTGTGTACAAAAAAACAATAGATTTCAATCTTCACCTACCATGGACTACTTGACCTATTTAAATATTATTGGTCATTAGTATGTACTTTTGTTTTTTATTTAACTGAGTAATTGTCATGATCTTTATTTTATTACTGTTAACCATGTTAGTTGTAAAGCGATTGGAAAGAAACTACGAAATGACGATATCATCTCGCGAAATTAGTCTTCTTAATGCCTTATTCAAATTTATCAAAGGGACTAATTGTTTTAAGAGGATATTCTATTCGAAAACCCTTTCTTCATCAGGTTCTACAGTTATATATCCACACAGGATAGTAAATGGATCAGTGTTATTAGCAACACTCATGCTGTTTACGTAACACCGAACCAATAATAATATCAATGGATTACATTTCGACAACATCAAGATAACAATACACTGAATGTCAGACAGATAAATTAGGAAAAATAATAATACAAACTCATGAATCTAGAATCTCTACTGAAGGCCATCCAGGGCAGTAGTGTCAGGTAGGACTTCCTTCTTTTACAGTCTCACGTGAATCCCGATAGCCTCTACTGTTTGGATTATGAGGTACCTCGATGTTTTTGGCGATTTCTGAGTAAACTAGACAATGAACCTATGAACAATCTTATCAGGAAATTCTCATTTTATTGCCAGTATATGGATGACATATTCATTCTTTGTGATAATGATTCGGATAGGAACGCAATAATAACTGAACTGAATGAAGTACATTCTGCTATGAAATTCACGTGCGAATAAGAATCCCAAAATACAGTCTCCTCCCTGGATGTACGCCTTACAAGAAAATCAGATAGTAGCATAAAGAGAAATTGGCATAGAAAAAGTACTCGGACAGGACAATATACTCATTTTCACAGCTTAGTTCCCATCAAGTACAAAAGAAATTTAGTGAAAACCCTCAGTCACAGAGTTAGAGCTATATGCTCAGAAGAAGTAATTGAAGATGAACTGAGCATTGTATATGACACCTTGAATGAAAATAGATACGTCGACAAATTTATCAAGAAACATATGACAAAGAAACCGGGAATGGACTACTCAATATCTGTAAACAAGAAGTCTTTACAGATGTGACTGCAATTCAAGGACGATGTACCAAGTGAGATGATTACGAGGAAATTAAGAAAATAAGTTAAAAGAATTTTTAATGCTGGTGAACTACACATCTTATTCTCTTCACGATCAGTGGTGCTACCTCGACTGAAAGATAAAGTAACTAGACTAGCCACTTCTACTTGTATTTACCAATTCAGCTGCGCTTTTGGAGCAAATTGTATTGGCCTTTTCCCTAGGAACTTGATTTCTTCTGCTCGGGAACATCTACCAGTGTGACTGAATAGATATGTAGTGAAGACCGTCAACAGTTCGATATTAGACCACCTGGTACAAACCAGCCGGCCACAGAGTCAGCATTGAAAAATCCTTTTCTGTCATCTACCGCCTACTAAATAAATTGCCAAAAAACATCGAGGTACCACATACTCTAAACAGCAGAGGTTATCACGATTCGCGTGAAACCATCTGTGCTTTGAGTACAAAAGAAGCAAGTCCAACCAGCCTCTACTACTACTATTATCCTGGATGGCCTTCAGTGTAGACTATAAATTCATGAATTTGTATTATTATCTTTCCTAATTCACTTGTTTGATATTTAGTGTATTGTTATGTTGATGCTGTAGAACTGATTCAGTGTTATTTAAACAACATGAATGTTGTTCATAACACTAATTCATTCATTCACTATAATGTATAGATAACTGTAGAACCTAATGATGAAGGGGTTGTCGAAAGAAGTATGTTCTATTCAGTTACCGATCTTTTAAAAACTTTTAACGGGCATTTTTAATCATTCACAATATTAATAACAATAATAACCAAATTTTATTTCCTATAATCACTAACAAGAAACTGCAGAATCATGAAGGATCCCATAAAGTGAACTAAGATTAGGAATTAGAAATTTCACATCCTATCCTTTCGGCATTCACAGAAGAATCCTTTTACAGTAAAGAATCTTGCATCTACTGTAATGGTAAAACGGGCAAGAATTTTGATCGGAAGTGAAAACGTGGACTTCCTGATTTATACCTAAATATTTGAATAATCGCTTAGGCTATTGCAGAGAATGAATAGTACCATAGCTATGTTGTAAATGCTTTGAGTGTTTACAGAAAAGTGTAAATCCTAAAGGAGGGAAGGTCGTCTTTGTTGAGGAGATTAGTTGACATAATGTTGACATTTCCAACCTGTATTAATTAATAGTCACTGCTTAATTGTATTGTATTCCTGCAAACTGTTGTTCGTACCATAAACAAAATCAGGTTCTACTGCAAAAGGTAAACAGATGTGCCAATCAAAAATAATTAAACTAATAAATTACAACATCATCATTATTTTGATAAACAACAACTCACCAATCCGTTGTAATTCTCACACAGGATTTCATGTCTACCTTCTGTCTGATTCTCTTGTGGATATGAAGCGCTCCGTAGAGATTTTACCATTTCAGTATAATAACTGATTGGTGTGCTCCACCTATATTTACTACAATAATCAGTCCTCTGCATTTTTATTTCGAGTCGTTTACAACTTAAGTAATCAAAAGACATCGGACTGTCAAGTTCTGAAAGATAAAAATAAATGTATAATTACGATTTCACAATTTATCACTCAACTGAATAGTATTCATAAAAGATTTCGTTAGATAATCAGTTCCATATTCATAAGCTAAAGTATGAAGTAATCGCTCTTGAAACGTCTTTTTTCTGATGGTGAATACCTTGGATTTTCTCTGAGGTTTACCTTTTTATAATGTGCTTACTTTGCTATATGTCTATGATGAAGGCAGTTGGAAAGTTCGAGTGTTTCAGTTTTTACTGGTTATAAAGACGTCACTGTGAACTGTATGGAACTACTGCCCTAAAACCTTTTAACCATTTTCAGCTAATAAGTGTCGTAACTACCTAATCTCAGTGATTCATTAGTAGACTGTACAGATCAGGCGATCATTTCAAATCGCTTAAGTGTGCATACATTTTATTGAAACTTTATGCGTGAAAAAGTAGATAATATTGCTCAGCATCAGTTGACGGTTAGCTATTGATGGATGGTGACTAGCAGTGGAATCCAGGATAATGCGAATAACGTCACCACTCACTGCAGAATGCAGTTACATCCAACTGAATAGTCCCACAGCAGACGAAATGTGCATTGCACCCTGGATTCCACTGCTAGTCACCATCTACCAATTAACTTCTAATTACACACCCAGACATCGTCAAAGCATCTGCACAAGAAGCCATCATTTCAACCTGAGACCGAGCACTTCGGTCCAGTCAATCGACAGTTCACGATGGTCGATTCAACACAGGTATATGACACAAAGTGTAATTTGTTCCTAATTTTCATTTTTTATCTATACGGCAATGTGAATGTGCGTTGGTGGTACAGTGATTAGGACTCTCGCCGACCATGCATATGGTCCGGGTTCGAGCCCGCACCGACGCACACCTGATATCTATGGTCGGCCTGCAAAATTTGGGCTACCGATATCCATGCTGAAAATTCCATACTTGTACCGAAAATACAGTGTGGAATCAAGCTGTAAATAAAAAATAAAAAAAAAATAATTAACTTTATATATATCGCTATATATCGGTAATTCAGGGGCGTTCCGAAATCCCATCTAATTTATCAGTCGCTAGTAAGCTGTGAAAAGAAAGGAAGTTCAGTGTCAGATTAGCAGCCACACGCCATGTGGAACCACTGCTAATGAAACTTTTAAGCTTAAATCGTCAAACCCAATGAGAGGGTTTACTGGAGTAGCACCGTTTTAGTATAAATGCCCTGTAAAACTTAGTTTCTTAAAATTTATGTTTATTATGTTTCACATTAAAATAAGCGCTAAAGATTTTCAGGAATTAAACTGCACAAATCAGAGTTTGACTTCACGCCAAAATATTTGTCGTTACTTCAAAGTAATTTAACTTAGGAATAATACAGATTATTAGTAATACTGAACTTTGACTAAATGTTCAACTGAATTTAAATTTTCCCGTTAACTGATTGTATTGAAGTGTTCGGTCTCAGGTTGACATATTGGCTTCCTGTGCAGATCCTTCGACAATGTCTGATTATTCAACTGAAAGTAAACTGATGAATAATGACTGACATCTTTGAATCCCCTGATAATCACCCTCCACCACTTAACTTTGATTAAATGATTTGAATTTCAACAGAAGAAAAATCGGCAAAATTTATTTATTTGCAAACGCTGAATTTTTAAGTATTGCTTTCGTAGGGGTTTTGTTTGGTTAAATAGAGGATTTCATCACCAGCTGATATCCGTTAGGGAACCACTGGAAAACCAGCTAGGAGTACTAGACAGCTGTTTCGTTTTGGTTTGGGACTCTTCATCAGTGCGCGCCTACCGGGGTTCGAACCCAGGACCTTCTAGTTACAAGGCGAGCTTATAGACTATTGAGCCATTAATCTGATGCTCACTAGAGACTGGCTCTATTCACACAGTTAACCTCGGGTCCTAGTGAGAAGCCATGACCAGGTTGAAGATGAGGTAGTAACTCATCGAAGAAGACATTGTGAAATGGTCGCGCCATGTCGTGAATTGGAAGAAGTTAGAAATCAAGGACTTTTGGATCGGGTCCCTTTGGCTTAATGGTCTACGAGTCAGCTTTCCTTGTAACCAGAAAGTCTTGGGTTTGAACTCCGGTGGATACATATCGCTGGAGAGTCCCAAACCAGGCACGCGAAACAGCTGGCTATCCAGTACTCTCAGTTGGTTTTCCAGTGTTTCTCTACCTGATGTCAGCTCGTGAGGAAATCCTCTATGCAAACGCTAAATTTGTCAAAATTCAATTGATTTCCAGGTGAATATCTGGAAAAATCGATATCAGTTAGACCTAAGCAGTCAGACAATATTCTGAGATCGATCCCTAATAATGCCTTGAGTGCCTACCACTGAAAAGTTTGAGTCAGGAGGAAACTGTTGCTCAGTGTTACCTCTTTTCGTCAAATAGTTCTTAGAGGATAATTGTTTCCTTGATAAAATCCACTTCTAAACCACTTTTGTCCGCAGTTTTGATCGTAAATGCCTACAAATTGAGTAAAACCGCAGTCGATAACGAGATCTGACAAAATTATTCACACCTTTAAGCTTTAAAATGAAGTGTGTTGCTGTTGAATCAACCAGTGACTCATAGACAGGAGAGAATCGAACAGTTCAACGTTTTAGAAATGAATACAAAACAGACGAAGAATGATAAATGAATCATGTGAAGCACTGCACCAATTTCTTAGTCATGGAAGTATTGAAAATTTCAAAGATAAGTGAGTAATCTTCACATATTTCATCCTTTCTAGGTTAACACTATACACACCATACTAGATTCTTGCAACTTTTAAATATTATGTACTATATCTTGTAAACGAATTTGTAGTACAAAATCAAAATCAAAATGAATCTTTGGTGCATTGGTTCAGTATGCATTTTTGTTTGCAAAAATAATTTCTCCTTATCATGAATTGTAAAGAATTTTGTAAACTTTCTAATCAATGCAACAGGCTAACGATTCATCTCATCACTATACTTGTTGTAATAGTTGATTGGGAAAGGCGAAAAAGCGTAAAATAAACAGGGAAAACTGTGCGCCTGTGTGTGTATGCGTGCCTGTGCGTGTGTGTGTGTGTCTGTGTATGTGTGTAGGGCGAATAGTGTTGTTTTGTTTCTCATATTTATTAGACAAAGGTTATATGTACTACTTTTCTTGTTGTCAGTTGAAATGAAGCCTATTTCGCTATCCTCTGATCAATTTATCAACGCCCCCGATAACACCTTTATCAGTAAAGGATCTGTAAATAAGAAAGCCTAGATTGATATAAAGGTTATCAGTTTTATTCTAGTAGTGCCGTAAATAAAAAAACAAACAAATGTAAACTTGTAAATAAATGTTGATTTCACTTGATAAACAGACTGTTTATTTGTATTTGGTATATGAATAAGGGTATTAAAAATTTATTTCAATGCATATTATTCTATGTCTAAAGATTATCTTTAGTCTGTTTATTGGTGTATTGCTGACTTGTAAAATCGAGTAAATACTTTGATTAAGAATGAACTTTTGTAAAATTCGTAAACAATAACAAAACTAATTATAATAATTAAATAAATAAATAGATAAAGCAAACTAGAATAATATTTTCGTTCTTATGTCTTATGTAGATGATTTAGAGTTTATGCAGTTTGTACATCGTGTCGGTGGTTCAGGCCCGCCAACTAGGGCACGGTCCCTAGCCGACACACTCCAAAACCTCTCTAAGCAGGTAGTAAGGCCAGCAGTCCCATCCCGTAAAAGGAATTTTCTAAAACCACTGCTACCGAAATTTAAAACCTGGAGCTTGAAGGTTTGTGCTTCCCTCAGATCATTTTTTCTCCTTCACGTTCCCAGTGGAACATAGGCCTCCAAGCTAAAGGCTTGAAGTTTCTGTAGCAGTGTTAATTTTTACAGGATGAGGTTGCTAGCCTCATGCCCAGCCTTTCCTCCTTACCAGTCTCACTACTGGCTTAGCGACGTAAAGGAGTGCGTCCGTAGCGGGGGATCGAACCCCGGACCACGAGCACGGTCGGTGGGCGTCCTAACCGCTGTGCCACCGATATACATCCCTCAGACCATAAATGAATAAAACAATAATAATTTTCTACAGTTGGTTTGTAAGGATTGGATTTGTTTTTACGAGTTTGACCACGGGTCGATTGATATCAGTTAGAGAGCCATTGAAAACCAGACACAGGGATTACTGGACAGCTATTTCATCCTACTTTGTGAATCATTGGCAGTACACACCCATTGCCATTGTTCGAAGCCAGGACCTTTGGGTTACAAGGCAAGTTGGCTCGTATAGCATTCAACCATCACCAGCCACCACTGGGACCCCATTCAATGGCCAGCCAGTCCATGAGTTCTAACTTCTACCAACTCGTGATTTAGTGCAATCACCAATCAACCGGAAGGTCCTGGGTTCGAAACCAACCATTGGCCGCGTGTACTGCCGATTAATCCCAAACTAGAATGAAACAGCTCCTCAGTACTCCTTATGTCTGATTCTCAATGGTTCTCTAAATGATATCAATCCATGGTCAACTCGTAAAAATAATTATAATAATACCTGATGATTGAATATATGATCATGATTTTCCACTTTAACCTAGATATCATCTAGGAAGAAAACTTGAAGAACACAGCGAACTAATAAGCAGAACTTTCATAAATTACTAATATTTATGATATACAAATTCAAGAATGATTCATACGCCTGTTAAAACTTCTCGCATCAATCTTTGGCATACAACCGATAGGTGTTTTGATGATATTGTGCGATGTCAAATAAATTATAGAGAATGATCTGAAGATTTTGGTCTTTCATGGTAAACAGTAGTGAAATTAAACTCTGAACTGCATAGCCTCCAAATTAATGACCTTGATAGGATTATGAACACCGAATTGTAGTCAACACGTTATCTGGAGATTATAATGGTATGACCGATTTTCACGTATTCGTTTCGTAGGGATTTTGTTTATTTGATTGGTTGGAGGATTTCATCATGAG